AGAGAGACAGCATGCGAGCAGGGGAGGGGCAGAGAGCGAGGGAGACACAGAATCCGAAGCAGGCTCCAGGCTCCGAGCTGCCAGCACAGAGCCCGACGTGGGGCTTGAACCCACGAACCGCAAGATCACGACCTGAGCCAAAGTCACACACTTAACCAACTAAGCCACCCAGGTGCCCCCCATCTGTATTAGTCTTATAGGGCTGCCATAACAAAATGCCACCAGATAGACTGGGTGGCTTAAACAACAGAAGTTTATTTTCTAATAGTTCTGGAGGCTGGAGGTCCAAGATCGGGCGCCAGCATGGCTGGTTTCTCCTTGGCTTGAGGTGACCACCTTCTCACTGTGTCCTCGCATGGTCTTTTCTCTGTTCATATGCATGGCTGGTGTCTCTCTCTCTCTTCTTAGAAAGACACCAGTCCTATTGGATTAGAGACCTACCCTGATAGCCTGTTTTTAACTTAATCACCTCTTTAAGACTATCTTCAAATATAGGTACATTCTGAATACTGGGAGTTAGGGCTTCAACATATGAATTTTGGGGGGGGGGGGAGAGGGACACAATTCAGTCCATAATACTGCCCGTCTCCCCACTCACCTGCTCCTTAAATAAAGGTGGAATTCAGGTTTCATCGCAGAAACTCTTGTGTTTTTTATAGATGAGTGCATGTATAATTGGTTGAATGTGACATATATGGTTTATTGGAGTAGGTGTTCAATGTATTAGAAAACTACGTTGTAACTAGCACTGAACCAACGGTTTTACAGATGGTTGTTTGGAATAAGGCTACAGACAAAAGTCAACACTAAGAAAAAACAGATGAAATGAATAAGGCACACTGATGTAGCAAAGACAGTCAAGGTGGCAGCTCAAGGGCCAGAGTTGAGGAAACCTGATACTAAGAGAGCCAGCTCTGCAGGCTGGTGACCCTGAGCTTCTTTCCTGGCACTGGTGCTCATTAGCTGTAAGACCCTGGGCAGGCCGCTCAGCCTGTTCAGAGCCCTGGTTTACTCATTTATCTAATGAAGATGCCAAACAGACCTGCTCCAGGTGGCTGTTCGGAGCATCACATCAGCCTCTTGAGGCACGAGGCACAGCACGTGGCTCGGGGACCTGGGCCAATCCTGACTCTGCTGCTTACCAGCTGTGTGGCCTTGAGCAAGTTATTTGCCTCTCTGAGCCTGCTTCCTCTTCTATAAGAAGGGCATAATGGTACCTAACTGCTCGGGTGGTCAAGAGGATTCAGTGAGTTAATTCACCTTCTGAGTGATGTCTGGTACACTGTGAGTGTTTGATCAATATCATTATTATTAGTTACTCTGGGGACAGCTCTGGACACCAGCTGAAATGGTCCCTCAGAGTGGCCTTCATCAGGGGCAAGTCCCAGCTCCAGGCCAAGCCCTTTCCAATGAGGCTGATGTCAGAATTCCTTAAACTCCATATCCTGCCATTGTCCCCAACACTCCAGCTCCAAGGCGGGAGATGATGTCATGGGAACTGATGGGTTTTTTCCTAAAGGGATGGGCAAGGGTGGGTGGGGAGGGGCCTTGCTAAGGCAGCCCTTCTCTCCAGCTCCTGGTCTCAGGGGGGAAGCTTGGCCCTGAAGATCTTCACTTCTGTCTCGTAGGATTCTGCATTATATGAACTTATTTTATTTATTTTTATTACATCTATGATCACAAGCAAGAAAGCTATTTTCATTTTTCCCCTCCTCCCACCAAAGCTATTTTCATTTTGAAAAATGAATCCAAGGCCAGTTTGACCCTTCTAGATTCCCAGGGTCAGTTCTGATTTACCTGGGTCACTTGCTCCTTGGCCTGGCTCTCTGCAAAAATAATTTAACAGAACCAGGATACTTCAGGGGTTCCTTCACTGAAGACCACTCTGACTCTAAAGTGGAAATAAGACCACTAGCTACCTCCTAGGCCCAAACGAGTCATAGACTTAAAAGTATTTGGCACAAAGCATAAGAGACTGTTAAAAACTGAGAACAAACTGAGGGTTGATGGGGGGTGGGAGGGAGGAGAGGGTGGGTGATGGGTATTGAGGAGGGCACCTTTTGGGATGAGCACTGGGTGTTGTATGGAAACCAATTTGACAATAAATTTCATATATTAAAAAAAATAAAAATAAAAAAATAAAAGTATTTGGCACATAATGATCACTGAATAAATGGCTCCTTTATTATTATTCATGAATGTCAATCATGTTCTGTGCCCAAAACCTTCCATGCTTGATTTTATATAATCCTCACAAGGACCTCAAAGGGGGTTCCCATTTTACAGATAAGGAAACTGAGGCTCAGAGAGATAAAGGAACTTTACTCAAAGTTCTGAAGTCAAACTACATTGTGTCGTCTGCGATGTCACTTCCTTTGGGAGGCTTGCTTCCCCTGCTCCTTCCCAGCACTGTCCCCCTGGTGGCTAATTCTCTCTTACCTTGCTCAGAGCTCTTTGTCCCTACCTTCACATGGGAATCATCTGGGAGGCTTTTAAAAATCTTTTTCTTGAGCTGCACACTGATCAACGACATCAGAATCTCTGGGGTTGTGACAGTCACTTGGGAGCATGATGGGGAGTGATACTGGGACCTGAGTTATTAATGCTACCCACGTGATTCTAATGTGCAGCTAACATTGAGAACAGGTGTTTTAGAGTGATTGGTAGGTCTGTCTTCCCTTTCTTATAAGAAGGGTCAAAATAGGGTGACTAATGTCCAGTTTGCTCCGGACTGAGGAAGTGTCCTGGGACACAGGATTTTCAGTGCTGAAACTTGGAAAGCCCTGGGCAGACTGAAACATGTTGGTCACCTTGGCCAAAGCCAGGTCCCACAGTCAGCAAGACCCCAGTGGCTCCAGGTGCCAGGCCAGTAACTACATGTGTGAAGTAGCTGGTGGAAAGGTGATAGAGGATGGTATCTGAGAGCGGACAAAGAGAGCGTGTCCTGCTAGAACCTTTACATTTCAGTGAAATCAACGTACCAAACAGGGCCTACCGGCAAGCCAGACCCATTTGTTTTAAACCCAACAGATGAACTTCACCTTCTACTCTAGAGCCACCAGGAGAATCTTCCACCTACAGTGGGGTCTTGGTGGACCAATGGTTTTCAAGCCCCTGGTGGGGTCACCTGGGTAACTTCCAAAAAAAAAAAAAAACCATGATGCTCAGCTCCAGCCCAGACCAATTGAATCATAGTCCCTACAGGTGGGACCCAAGCATCAATATTTTTAAAAATCCCCCTCCCCAGGTCACTATAATGTCTGGCTAGGGCTGAAGATGGCTGGGATAAATGATGACCAAATGAAGGAGGAAAAATGGGCTTCTCTACATCTTCAGTGTCTCTCTGATGTCCTTGATGTCTGACTCATAAGGTTTGGGGAGCATTTCTGTTCTACCTGCTTTCTACAGTCACAAGCAAAAATGAATGCTGAAGCAACGAAGATGTCCTTCAGTAGGTGAATGGATAAATGAACTATGGTTACATCCAGATGAGAGAATATTATTCAGTGCTAAAAAGAAATGCACTCTCAAGCCATGCAAAAACATGGAGGAATCTTAAATGCATATTACTAACTGAAAGAAGCCAGTCTGAAAAGGACTATATGATTCCAACTATATGACCTTTTGGAAAAGCCAAAACTATGGAGACATTGAAAAGATCAGTGGTCGGGTTACCTGGGTGGCTCAGTCAGTCAAGTGTCCAACTCTTGATTTCAGCTCAGGTCATGATCTCACGGATTGCGTACGGCTGTGCACTGACAGTGTGGAGCCTGCTTGGGATTCTCTCTCTCCCTCTCTGCCCCTCCCCCACTCATTCTCTCTTTAAAAAAATTAATAAGCATTAAAAAAAATATCAGTAGTTGCCAGATGTTATGAAAAAAGAAGGGATGAATAGACTAGACACAGAGGGTTTTCAGGGCACTGAAAATACTCTGTATGATACTCTAATGGTGGATATATGTCATTGTACATTCGTCCAAATTCATAGAATGCACAACCCAAGAATGAACCCTGAGGTTAAAACCATGAACTTTGGGTAATAACGATGCATTAATATAGGCTCATCAATTATAACAAATGTACCACTCTGGTGGGGAATGTGGATATGGGGAAGGCTATCCACATGTGGGGACAGGGGGTATAAATGGAATCTCTGTGCCTTTCGGTCAATTTTGTTGTGAACCTAAAACCGCTTCTAAAAGAATAAACTCTCCTAAAAAAACAATCCGTACAGAACAAGGACTTCCAATTCATTCATTCATCAAGCACCGCTGAGCCCCAGCACCTAGCCCCGCTGTCAGTGATCACCACCAGCCTAGTGGCTTCTGTTGTGTGACACTGGGCAACGCACTTAACTTCCCTGTCCCTCACGTCTAATATCAACAAAGATGTGTAGGTCTCTAGCCCCATGGCCATTCCGAGTAAGGCTAGGGATCCAAGGTCCCGGGCCTCTGGGCCTCTTCATGTGGAGAGAGACTTTGCACAACGGAAGGAAGACAGGAGGGTTTTCTGGCATCGGAACACCTTGTTCAAAAGAGAGGAGGAAAAGGTCTCTGAGTCATTGGAGGAAATTACCATGTTCAGTGGAGAGGGATCAAACGTGTGTATATGTGTGCCCATGCATGTGGATACGTGTGATTCTACACATGGAAGTGGATGGGGTGTGTGTGAGGGTGTGTATGCCTGGAGTATGTGCATGTGTGTATGTGTGTATATGTGAGTGCTTATGTACAAATATGTATGCATGTATATGTGAACGTGCATGAGGACTTGGTGTCAATATGAGGATGTAAACATGTGACTGTCACTGCATGCCTGTATGTGAATTGTGGACGTGTGTGTGATGAATATATGTATAATGTGTGAATATGTATGCACCCACATATTTGTGTGAATGAGTGTGTATGAGGTTGTGTGTCACTCCCCGGCTGTTGTGGGCAAGTTATTCAACCATTCTGTGCCTCTGTGTCCCTTTGTCTAAAGTGAGGATAAGTACTTACTCTGGTGGATTAAAGGTGGCTGCAAATCCTTTGCTAGTCCTGCCACCAGGAGGTGGAGTCACTTCCTCTTGAACCTGGGCTGGACTTGTGATCTGTTCTGACCAATGGAATCCAGACCTGAGATCTGCCGTTCTTCTGCATTTGCAAACATGACACTGCCTCTTGGAACCCAGTGGCTGAGCTGTGAGATGCTAGAACCGAAAAGTAAGGCCATGAGGAGGGAAACCAGCGCGTGTGGGTTGTCAGTGCCAGCTGAGTCCACAGCGCACAGTAGCACCAAGTGCCCTCTGCTGTAGAGGACCGTGGTCCTAGCTGACATCATGAGCAGAACTGCCAGCAGAACTCAGTTAACACACAGAAATCATAAGAGACAATAATAGCAGTGGACGTTTTTAAGCCATTAGGTTTCAGGATGGTTAGCTACGCAGCAGGCATGCCTTGTAAAATTTTTAAGCACTTAGAACTGAAGTTGGCAAACTTTTCCTGCAAAGGGCCAGGTAGGAAATATCTCGGGTTTTGCAGGTGATGCAGTCATTGTCACAACTACTCAACTCTGAGGTGTAGTGCAAAAGCAGCCAGAGGTAATGTGTTAATGAATAAGCATGGCTGTGTTCCAATAAAACTTTATTTACACAAACAGGTGGCAGGCTGGATCTGGCCCCCTGGCAGTCAAATGTTTGCCCAGAGCTAGAAAGCTGCCTGGGATCCGGTGAGTGCTTTAAAGTGTTGGCTATGAGGCGCCTGGGTGGCTCAGTCGGCTAAGCGTCTGACTTCGGCTCAGGTCATGATCTCATGGTTCGTGAGTTTGAGCCCTGCCATCAGGCTTTCTGCTGCCAGCGAGGAACCGGCTTTGGATCCTCTGTCCCCCTCTCCCTGCCCCTCCCTCTCTCATGCTCTCTCTCTCTAAAAAATAAAAATAAATAACTATAATGTGTTAGCTATGAGCGTATGTGTTAAAGAGAGTGTATGTCTATGCACCCACGTGCATACGGGCATGTCTGCATGTGAAGCATGTGCCAGAATGAGTGTAAATGTGTCTATATGCAGAATCAGTTTAGTCCTTCTGTAAGACAAAGCAATAGGTTCATATCAGCTAACTTTTTGTTTAACTTTTTGGTAATGTTTTATTTATTTTTGAGAGAGAGCGAGAGCATGAGCAGGGGAGGGGCAGAGAGAGAGGGAGACACAGAATCCGAAGCAGGCTCCAGGCTCTGAGCTGTCAGCACAGAGCCTAGCTCGGGCCTTGAACCCACAAACAGTGAGATTATGACCTGAGCCGAAGTCAGATGCTTAACCGACTGAGCCACCCAGGCACCCCTCAGCTAACATTTCAATGTAGCTACCTCAGGCCTTCCTGCTTCTATTCTGGGGAGAAAGGGAAGCATGGTACAAAGCCAAGGGAAGAAAGAGCTGGTATGTCCCTATCGTTTTCATCTGGGTTAAGTTTGGAGGGAAGCCATCATCTGTCAGTGGCTGGGCTACTGTAGGGCAGGCAGCCCACGCCTTCCCGTCTGCTGAAAGGAGAAGTCAGTCCTCTGGGGAGAGGGGGAGGGGATGCTGTAAAAATGAAAAAAGAACACTGGAACTTTTAAGGAGGAGCTTGGGAACTGGAGAGAAAGCTATACACCCCCCCCCCAACAGTGGGTGGCTTTTCCAGGCAACTTGTCAACATCTGCCTGCTGGTTTCATTCTGATCTCCCACTGTGGGCCTCACGAGGGGTGACTTCCTGCATGACTAACCTCCCTGGCTCGATTTGCAAGGGCCAGAAATGAGTGTTAGCGTTGTAGCCAGATGTGGATTCAAATCCCTGTTTGCACTTACTTACACAGGGCATGTGGCCTCCTTTTGCTGAGCCTCAGTTTCCTCACCTGTAACATGGGGATGATATTACTACTACCTCCCAGGACTCTTGCAACGGTCAAGTGAGGGTGGTGTGTGTCTAGCATTTTGGCAGAGAGCTTTGCACATAGCAGGTGCTCTGCAGGGTGACGTCCAGAGGCAGACCCTCATGGTTAGCGTGCCCGCCGGGCTTCAGAATTTCGGGGAAGCCTTCTCTAACCCCCTGGGCTGCCGTAAAGTCCCTTCTGATTTAGAAACCTCTTTCCTTCAAAGCACTCACCTCTGCTAGTTATTCTGCACTCATCGGCATGCTTATTTGTCGAGCAGCAGTCTCCTCCGACGGACTGAAAGCTGTAGGCAAAGACGAGATGGAGTCCGTTTTGCTAACCACGCAATCCCCAGTGCCAATAAGGGCCCTGGCACGTGGTTGGCACTCAATGATTATTTACTGCACGTGTGAATGCCGATGGAGCATTTCGTAACTGGGGAGTCCTTGGGGTCCGAGGAGAGAGCATCTTCTCTCCATCTGCTACAAACACATCAAGATAAGAGGCTTGCAGTGGGGTCTTCCAAAATGGGGTGATTATAGGAGCCCTCTTCAGCGTCCTGTTGTATTGATAGGTTAAGTTGGGCTTTTCTGCAGTCACAAAAAATCCCAGTGTTTCATTTCAGAAGGCTAACACCACAGAAGTTTGTTTTTCGCTCATACAAAGGCCACGATGAATCAGGTGACCGTCAAGGGCAGCTGTGCTCTTTGTGGTGACTCAGTTCCATCTTGTGATGGCTTTCACGCGTGACCTTTAGGGTTTCTGCAGGATCATGTACAAGTCCCTTGTGCTCCCTGCCCATTGCTCAGAACCAGTCGGCTGGCCCTGGCAAATGGCAGCGGGGCGGGAAATACAGGGTTACTCGAGGATATTCGGTGAGCAGGAGTATCTCTGCCTCGAACGTGGGAAGGGCTCAGACATCTCGGCTGGTCTCCTGGGTCTGGGTTTAATGATAGGACAGCCAAATGCATTTCGAATACTTGGAAAATGGAGATCCCTACTAATTAGACTGCTTTTGAAAACCAGGTATTTATCAGAGGAAAAATAATCAATCATCGCAAAGCCTTTACTTAAGATACGAGGAGCAGTGTTTCCAGTCTGCAGTTTCTTGCCATGCAAGACCCTGAGGGCCCCCCATCTCCAGATGCCACACCATTTTCCTCCATGGTTGAAATATGTCTTAGTAGTTTTGATAAGGATCGACAGTCGCCCATCAGAGGCTTAGCTCCTAATTCGAGGGGACCAGTGATTAAATAAACCGTGAAGATAAAAATCTTTTGCCGAGATAAGGTCATTACAACCTTTTAGTTTGAGTCTGGTACACAGTAGGACTCCTAGTTTCCACCACCACCCCCCTTCGACATCCGGCTTCACTGGAAGGCGCCTTGATGGACTTTACTTTTTTTTTTTTAAGTGGTAGCTCAAAGTCACTGCATCTAAGATGGTAGTGGGGGGAGGGGGAGGGGAGAGACTGAGACAAAGTGTGGGCAAAACCACTGAATATTCATGAAAAGAGCCAGCAGTTTGTAAAGACAGGCTGTATATGATGTGTGTTCTCACCAGGCTAGAAGACAAAAGAAAGGCAGTGTGCCTCTGAATAGAGATGCGGG